CTTTTTAAATCTAATATCCAAAAATACGACAGTATCTCATCGCAGAGCACAAGTGAAGGCCCTAATTGCAAAACTCCAAATTTTTGCTTTATCCATTTGCTAATAATAATGGGACGGCACTTTGAATCTTTTACTAGCCTTTAAGTGGATGGGCAGAATAGACCACGAGGTCAGAATATCCCATGGCGAAGCTACCAGCTGGCCTGCGGGTCGTCTAAAAGAGACCAGCAGCTCGTCTTGAAGAGACCAGCAGCTCGTCTACAAGAGACCAGCTAGCCTCCGGCTCGTCTAGAGGAGACCAACTGGTCTACGGCTCGCCTAGATGAGACCAGCTGGCCTCCAGTCTAGAAGAGACCAGCTGACCTGTCTATATATAAAGACTCCCTGGTCTCCAGCTCGTCTATAAAGACTCCTTGGCCTCCTGCTCGTCTATAAAGACTACCTGGTCTCCAGCTTGTCTATAAAGACTCCATGGCCTTCAGCACTTCTATAAATACTCCCTCGTCTATAAAGACATCTTAGCTCCGAGCTCCTCTATGAAGACACCTTGTTTATCATTCCGTTTGTAACACCTAGAAATATACAGCTTAGACCTCACAAAGTATATATACACATTTTTGATCAGCATAAAATTCTATGTCGATTTAGCGATGTCCGTCCGTCTATTTGTCTATCCGTCTGTGGAAATCACTGTAGGTTGATACAATTTTACTCAAATGTCTATTATGTCTGTAGGACTTTTGGTATTGAAAATGGGCGATGTAGGTCTACGTCTTCGTATAGCCCCCATATAAAGGTAACTCCCGATATTCGGTATTTTGATTATTAAGGCGACATATTCACCGGATTTGTTTCAAATTTGGCATTTGAATTTCGTAATGAATACTACAGCCCATGACAGAACTCTGTCTGTCCAGGTCCACGTCTTCGTGTATCCCCCAAATAACGGTACCCCCCGATATTCGGTATTTTTATGATTTTAGCGACATTATTTACCGGAATTATTTCAAATTTTGTATTTGAAGGTCGTAATGGATACTACAGCCTATGTCAGAAAATAGTCTGTGCAGGTCCACGTTTTATAACCCCCATGGTACCTCCCTATGTTCGGTATTTTGATGATTTTAGCTACATTATTCACCGATTTGGTATTTTTACGATTTTAACAGAATTTTCAATGGATTTTATTTTATTTATTTTTTTTTTTGAAAATGGCTAAATTCGCTCTAAATGATGGAGGGTATTCAAAGTTCGGCCCAGTCGTACTTAGAGCTTTCTCACTTGTTTATCTTCGGATTACTTCCCAACCACTCATTCCCTTGAAATTATGTTCAAGGATCGCTACCTATGCGGATGTATTTTAGGGAATTTTTACTAAAAAGGGTCCGAGATGTACGAAGAAGTACCAAAAACAGACTGATAATTTGGTCTCCTATCAGAAAAACCCCTTCTATTTAAATTTTTTTTTGGCTCTCTTCGAATCACTTCCCAAACATCCTTTCCATTTTCCATCTTAAAATTTTATTCAAATATCACCACTATATTTTAGGAGATTTTTAATAAACAGGTGCGAGATTTTTCGTACATCTCGCACCTGTTTATTAAAAATCTCCTAAAATATAGTGGTGATCTTTGAATAAAATTTTAAGATGGAAAATGGAAAAGTACCAAAAAAACTGACGGATATTTTGGTCTCCTATCAGAAAAACCCCTAAAAGGGCAGTTGGGTTTCTCCCAGGGTTAGGATTTTCTCTGCGTACTTTATGAAAAAAAATCCATTCTGCTCCCTTCGGATTACTTCCCAACCATTCCTTTCCTTTTTAATTTCGTAATTCTCTCTCTCTTTTTTAACATTCAAGCTTGTTTGCCAACATTGTTGTGATTTATTTCATTATAAATCATGTCAAAAAATCTGCCGCACACACACAACCATGGCATGCAGAACTCATTATGGGCTTACTAAAGGAAATACAACAACAAAAAATACTAACTACAACAACAAGTAAAATTTTCCAACTTCCTTTCATCAGCCAGGCTTTGCTCTATATTTGCCCATTGATAAAATGAATATGGAATTCCTCGTATTTTACCCTCCATCCAATGTGAGAGGGGAAAGGGGGGAGGGGTGGTTTGGAAACTGAAATGTTTGCCTCTTAATTATATTTGAAATGAAAATTTGTTATTCATTTACGTGAACTGATTTGGGGTTTTGTTTTGGTTTTCTTGTTAGTTATTTTTTTTTCTCTCTCTCTCTCTCTCTCATTTCTATGAAGTTCAGTTTTGTTTGGGAATAACTGGGCCAACAAAAAGGAAAAGTGGGAGGTCTACTCCTAACAGACAACATAATTGTGGTTTGGCATCAAAAAATATTTTCACACACACACAGACACTTATTCATTCACGCACATACGTCACAACTTTTAACATGTATATGTGGAGTACGTGTTAATTCCCTCGCTCTCTCTCCCACTCTCTCTCTAGAATTTCGACAAACAGGAAACATTGTAACGCAAGCAAAACGAAAACATTTAGAAAAACACAAATCATGTTGTGTTTTGTTCGGCGGGTTTCCGTTTAGATCTTCGTGAATAGAAATGGCCATGAAATTAAAATTAATTTAAATTTATGGTGGGAATTAGAATTAGGAAAAAGAGAGAGGGAGAGAGGGGGACACAGGGACCATGATTGCCGCATAAAAAATTGAAGATGTTTCTTGGGTGTAGGAATATTTTTTTTTAGAAATGATGTGAACTACAGCTAGAGATATCTAACGTCATTGGAAACAGCAAGAACCCTAAAAACCCACATTGTCTTCTATGGGACGAGCTTTGGGCCATCTCCAAAAAGAGTCCATAGTTCTTCATGAGCACCCAGCCTGCTCTTCTATAAAATTGTTATAAACGAGTAAAAAAGCTCTAAGTACAGCTCGGCCGAACTTTGAATACCCTCTACTCCCTCTAAATTTGGCAATTTTCAAAAAAAAAAAAAAAATAAAATCCATTAAAAATTCAGTTAAAATCTTAAAAATTCCGAATGTAGCTTTATACTAGGGTCTATACGACGACGTAGACCTGCATACCCAACTTTTGTCATAAAACAATTCCGGTGAATGACTTCGCTAGAATCATCAAAATACCGAATATCGGGGTGTACCGTTATATGGGTGCTCTACGAAGACTTGGACCTGCAGAGACAATTTTCTGTCTTAGGTTGTAGTATTCATTACGAACTTCAAAGACCACATTTAAAAAAAATCTGATGAAAAAATGTCCATAAAATCATAAAAATACCGAATATCGGCAGGTACCGTTATATGGGGGCTCTACGAAGACGTGGACCTGCACACACAATTTTCTGTCATAGGCTGTAGTATCCATTGCGAACTTCAAATACCAAATTTGAAACAATTCCGGTGAAGAAATGTGCATAAAATCATTAAAACACCGAATATAGGGAGGAACCGTTATATGGGTGCTATACGAAGACATGGACCTGCACAGACAATTTACTGTCTTAAGCTGTAGTACCCATTACGTACTTCAAATACCAAATTTGAAACAATTCCGGTGAATGAATTCGCTAAAATCATTAAAATACCGAATATCGGGAGGTACTGTTATATGGGGGCTATACGAAGACGTGGACCTGCACACACAATTTTCTGTCTTAGGCTGTAGTATCCATTAAGAATTTCAAATACCAAATTTGAAAGAATTCAGGTGAAAAATGTCGCTAAAATCATCAAAATACCGAATATGGGGAGGTACCGTTATATGGGGGCTATAGGAAGACGTAGATCTGCACAGACAATTTTCTGTCTTACGCTCTACTATCCATTATGAACATCAAATTCCAAATTTGAAACAATTCTGGTGAATGAATTCGCTAAAATCATTAAAATACCGATTATCGGGTGGTACCGTTATATGGGAGCTATACGAAGACGTGGACCTGCGTAGACAATGAATATACCCTCCATACCATGGTGGAGGGTATAATAAAAATTTAAGACAATTTCTAGCTTTTTGTACCCTTTCTGCGGAATTTCCAAAACATACTTTATTATTATGATGTTTTAGAAGACCCTAACCCCGACCATAAATCCCATATCTATGGTGGAATATTTGGTACCTATTTTCCCTCTTATCTGAATTTTTAGAACCTAAGGGTACCAATTTGCCAAAATTCCAGGATTGCATACCCCATGCAAAATTTAAAGATTTACAGGCCTATTATTTATCCGTTCGCAATTGGTAAGTTAATGCTCTTTGCCATATCTTTAAAGATTTTTAGATGGCTATCCTTCCCCTCGCATGCCTCCACAAAATTGCTGCGTCATAATTCCTGGCTCCGCATGATGATTATAATTTTCTTCATTCCTCATTTCAGTTTTTTCTTCGTCTTTTTTTTTTTCCAAAGCCACTTGTTTGCCTCAAAGCAACAAAGCACAACAACAACAAGGCACTTGGATCCAAAACTGGATCCCAAACATGATTTCATGTTAATGAATCATTAGTAATTTTTAATGATGTTGTTAATATTCGAGAGATGGCAGGCTGGCAAGCAACAAAGGCAATGGGAGACAGCAACACCCTTACTCTCAAAAAAATCAAAGGAGAGAGATATGGTGGCAAGGAGAGAGAGAGAGGTAAGAGTGGAGCCAAAAAAAAGTATTTACACAACACTCACCCTCAGAACGGAAGTGTTGCTAATTTGTAACTAATTAAGTTGTTGAGATTGCTTGCCAACCTTACCCCTCGCAACTCTCCTACACCCTACCCCCACTTCCACCCTCCATCAACAACACCAAGAAAATTGCCCAGGAGGAGCCTGACAGGCAAATTTATGGTAAAAACATACTTAAAGTTGGCGAGTGCTTTTGACATATGAGAGAGCACTTAACACAGATATGCTTCCAACGGCTGACACGCACGCACACCCATGTATTTCAGACGGAAATACACACACACACACACGCGTTCTTATATTTATACACTTACCTTGATAAATTGAAACGTCGCCATGGGCGGCAAACGTTTACTTTTCGGATAGAAAAAACTGCCAGCCGGATGTGCGGGATAACGCGATGTGATGCGATAGATAACACCCTGCGGCGATGTCGGCCAATTGGGAGCGGTGAAGGTAAAGCCATTGTCCGTACCGGCATCCAGGGGGTCCATTTCAACGGTGACCGTATCTATCCAGGAGCCGCCGACGCAGAGCTGGAAAAAGAGGAGGGGAAACATTAGATTAAAATGACGAAAGGGTCTCAAAAGCTCGACTAAGAAAAAATTGTATGAAGAAGACCTCCAGGTCGTCTATAAAGAAGATTTCCGGGTCTTTTATAAAGAAGACCTGTGGTTCTTTTATAAAGAAGACCTGTTGATCTTCTATAAAGAAGACCTCTATGTCTTCTATGTAAAAGACCTCAAGATCTTCTACGTAGAAGATCTCAAGGCCTTCTATGGAGATGACCTCAAGATCTTCTATGTAGAAGATCTCAAGGTTTCTATGGAGAAGACCTCAAAATCTTTTATGGAGAAGAAGACCTCCAGAGGTCTTCTTTGGAGAAAAAGACCTACAGTGGTTCTTCTATGGAGAAAAAGACCTCCAGAGGTCTTCTATGGAGAAGAAGACCTCCAGAGGTCTTCTATGGAGAAAATGACCTCCAGAGGTCTTCTATGGAGAAGAAGACCTCCAGAGGTCTTCTATGGAGAAGAAGACCTCCAGAGGTCTTCTATGGAGAAAAAGACCTCCAGAGGTCTTCTATGGGGAAGAAGACCTCCAGAGGTCTTCTATGGAGAAGAAGACCTCCAGAGGTCTTCTATGGAGAAGAAGACCTCCAGATGTCTTCTATGGAGAAGAAGACCTCCAGAGGTCCTCTATGGAGAAAATGACCTCCAGAGGTCTTCTATGGAGAAGAAGACCTCCAGTGATCTTCTATGGAGAAGAAGACCTCCAGAGATCTTCTATGGAGAAGAAGACCTCCAGAGGCCTCCAGCTCTTCTATGGAGAACATATAAGACCTCCAGCCCTTCTATGGAGAACATATAAGACCTCCAGCTCTTCTATGGAGAACATAGAAGACCTCCAGCTCTTCTATGGAGAACATAGAAGACCTCCAACTCTTCTATGGAGAACATAGAAGACCTCCAGCTCTTCTATGGAAAACATAGAAGATCTCCAGCTCTTCTATGAAGAAGAAGACCTCCAGCTCTTCTATGGAACATAGAAGACCTCCAGCTCTTCTATGGAGAACATAGAAGACCTCCAGCTCTTCTATGGAGAACATAGAAGACCTCCAGCTCTTCTATGGAATATAGAAAACCTCCAGCTCTTCTATGGAACATAGAAGACCTGCAGCTCTTCTATGGAACATAGAAGACCTGCAGCTCTTCTATGGAACATAGAAGACCTCCAGCTCTTCTATGGAATATAGAAAACCTCCAGCTCTTCTATGGAACATAGAAGACCTCCAGCTCTTCTATGGAACATAGAAGACCTGCAGCTCTTCTATGGAACATAGAAGACCTCCAGCTCTTCTATGGAACATATAAGACCTCCAGCTCTTCTGTGGAGAGGTAGACCAGAAGCTTTTCTATGAAGAGAAACTCAAACTCTTCTATGAAGAGGACCTCCAGCTCTTCTATGAAGAAGAGCTCCATCTCATCTATGGAGAAGTACACCAGGTCTGCCGATCTTCTATAGAAAAAACAGAGACTTTTGTTATTCTATGAAAGGAACAGAGCCTTTTGCTCTTCTGACCAACTACTGCATTTTCCTTCTGTTCTTTTTCATCCTTTTCTTCCCTTTTCCCTTTTCAAATTCATTAATTTCGTATTCCGTTTCCCTTACAAAACTCCTTGAGCATGCCATTGGGTAATTTGTATTAAACACTTTTTACATGCAACTACTTAATTTCCCCCCTTTCCCCTGCTGTCTCCCCACTCTCTTAACCCATCATTTTCCGTAAAACGGAAACATCGTTTAATAATGTTACTGCCTCACTTACCTGAAACGAATCGACCCCTATGAACCAATCGGGCGAGGGTACGATGCGTGTCATTAATGACACCAAACTGTGATTGCTGTCGACAAAGAATTTCGCTTCGCTGCGTCCCGCACCCTGGCTGATGGCTGGTAAATTAAATTCATCGAAAATGTTACGCTCGCTAGAGCCGGCGGCCAGCGTGTTATGATTGTTGCGTGTTGTTGTTGTGGTGGTGGTGGTCGACGACGACGACGATGTCGTCGTCGTTGTGGCCGTCGCACTAGATGTTGATGTTGATTTCTCCACTTGGACTTTTTGTTGTTGTAATTGCAGTTGTTGTTGCTCACCTAATGGCGTATCCAATATTTCACTTTTGCCCGTTTCGGCAAATTGTTTAACACCGGATGTGGCCTGTTGTCCGATGTGATACAAGGCGTATTTGGCGTCATGTGTACGTCCTGGAAGGAGAACAGAGAAAAAAAATGGTTAAAGGAGGTTCCAATTAGGTAAAGGCAAATCAATAGCTGTTATTTCAGTTTTTTTCCGTTTAGTTTCGTTTTTTGCTGTGGAGAAACTTAATGGCTGGCTACTAAATTGCTGCAATTTGAAATGTGAGCCATTTACATTTTGTAATATGTCAGGTTAATTTTTATATTTTTTTGTGGTCTTAAAATAACAAAAACAAAACAAAAAATACAGAAATATAATATCTAGCTTGCGGGCTCATTGTAATTATAGTGGCTTTAAAGCGTCGACAGCTGAGGGTTTCATAAAAGGGAATGATGGGATTTTTACAAAAAAAAAAAAATTCTGAAGATCCCAAAAATATCCCAGTTTTTTTCTGAGAATCCGAAAAGAAAAAATACGCCTTGAAGTCCTTCAAAATATGACAAGAGATATAGGGTGAGTTAAAAAAAAAATCTGCAACAAAATTAAACGCCATAATTTTTCCATTTTTTTTCAATTTTTTTTTTTTTTTTTTTTTTGAATGAAAGCAAAATAGATCGGAAATAGCATCAAATTTTAGAATAAGTTTAGATTTGTTCGAAATGGTCACCTTTGGCATGAATTATGGCCCTCAAACGGCCAATGAAATCATCACACGCTGTTCGAATGTTGCTCTTCGGTATTTTGGCCCATTCCCGGCGAAGCACTTGCTTGAGGTGATCGACACTTTGGTATGTTTTAGTGCCAACCTTGCTTTCCAAAATACTCCAGACACAATAGTCCAACGGATTGGTATCCTGAGATTTTGGTGGTGGCCACTGTGCACTGGAAATGAAGCGAGGAATCTCATTTTGTAACCATTTTTGGGTGGCGCGTGCTCTGAGTGCGATGGCGCCGAGTCCTGTTGGAATGTTCAAGGTCTGCGACCAAAATGTTTGCGTGCCCAAAGCTTTAATACACCCTCCAGAATATTTTCGCGACAATATTCGGTATTTTTTGGAATTTTCAAGTGCCAACCTTGCTTTCCAAAGTACTCCCGATACAATAGTCCCACGCATTGGTAACCGGAAATTTTGGTGGTGCGCCGAAAATGAGGCGAGAAACCTCATTTTGTAACCTCTCACCATGGTCGACGATTGAGTTCTGGTGGCCAACCAACCAAATGTTGTTCTGCATTATTTTGGCTGATTCCCGGCGAAGCGCTTGCTTGAGGTGATCGACACTTTGGTATTTTTTAGTGCCAACCTTACTTTCCAAAATACTCCCGACACAATAGTCCAACGGATTGGTATCCTGAGATTTTTGTGGTGGCCATTGTGCACTGGAAATGAAGCCAGGAACCTCATTTTGAAACCATTCTTGCCGAGTCCTGTTGGAATGTCCAAGGTTTGCGGTCAAAATTTTTGCGTGCCCAAGGCTTTAATACACCCTCCAGAATATTTTTGCGATAATAATATTCGGCATTTATTCTGATGCCATTATTACGAGCGGAGAGCGACCATCCGCTGTTATGGCGGCCCACACTATCACCATGACCAGCCAGAGGCTTGGGTGGCGCGTGCTGAGTGTGATGTTGCTGAGTCCTGTTGGAATGTCCAAGGTCTGCGGCCAAAATGTTTGTGTGCGCAAGACTTTAATACACCCTCCAGAATATTTTCGCCATAATATTTGGCATTTATTCTGATGTCACGGCCGATTAATACAAACAGACAGCGACCAATGGCTGTTATGGCGTCCCACACCATCACCATGGCCGGCATGTGGCTTGAGTTCTGGTGGCCAAACGAAGGTGCACATATGACCATCAGCTAACCTCTTTGGCAATAACCACGAAGGGATCATTTTGTTTGTTTACAAACTGTTGGACAAGGAATGTTTTCTCATCGGAGAAAACCAAATTCGGCAGTTCACCACCTTCGGTCAAGCAACTCTTTAGCTCCGTTGAGTCTATTTTCTTTCCTTTGCGGTGTAAACTCTTCCACCTTTTGGAATTTCAATGGCATTATCCCGAACTCATTTTTCAATATTTGCCGAATGGAATATTGCGATATGCTCATCGGAGAAACCCAAATTCGACAGTTCACCACCTTCGGTCAAGCAACTCAACGAAGCAACTCTTTAGCGCTTTTGAGTCTATTTTGCCCTTTTTGGAATTTCATTGGCTATATCCCGAGCTCATTTTTTGCCAAATGGAATATTGCGATATGTACAGCTCACGAGGCATTTTTCGGCCACTGCGTCGCGGTTTTCGATCAAGCCGCTTCTTTATTTTTCAAACCTTTTCTGCTGAGGTTGCAGTTTTCTTACGTCCACTTCCTTGACTTCCGTCGGGCTAAGCTACCAGTATCACGGTAATGACGATCGATGGTACGAGACCCAAAAAAAGATTTATTCACATTTAAATGTTGGAGTGCTCTAACGATAGCCACTTGTGGTGTTCCAGCCAAATATAAAGAAATCCCACTATCACGCTTGAATTCGATTACGAATAACTTTTTTCCGGGAAAATTCTCACTAAAATGCTTTTGTACACTTGTAAAGAATATAATCAGCTTTCACTGGAATAATTTTAACAGCTGTCGGACGAGTGGCTTAGAAATGACAGCAATCTGAAATTGGTTGCAGTTTTTTCAAAAGAATATTTACTGAGGGTAACCCTTTGCGTATGAGTGTTGCTGAAACGTATACGCCACCCTGGCTCTTAATTTTAGAAATGCATCACTCCAATAAGTGTTTTTTCTAATTTCTCCCAAATCTAAAACCTTTTTTTCAGGATTATAATTGGTCTCATGTCTTTGCCTGCCACCATGATAGAAAAATACAGAATATTAGAAAAAACTACAACCCAAAACAATATTGAAATAACTTGCTGTCATATTATAACCACAAGATAACATATTATGATTGCAATTGACCATGATATTTAATGCTCTTTTATTTTTTGCGAAAAAAGAAACAACAACAACAAATATGTTTGTCAGTCGATGCCATTCATATCCATATCCATATCCATATTTTTATTTGACTATTATGGCCAGCTGCAACAGCCGCAAAATATTGGCTCACAAATCTGCATTCGACGAGCAAGCGGAAGTAAGAATATCCCAACAACAACAACAATAATAATAAAATTATGCAAGGATTTATTTATCAGGGAGGAGAGGCTTATTTTATTGAAAATTGTAATTTATTCCAGGATAAGTTGGGCACTTATGCCAGCACACACACACACACACAGATACACATATCATTCGTATCAGTTGCCAGATATTAAAGTATTAAATATTACTTACTTAATTCCCATGCGATTGCCGATGAAATTATGGTATTAATTTTAAATATTTGGGGGCAATTAGTAAAAGGCAGATTCTTTCATCGAAAATATTTTAAAATTCTAAGGGTGAAGTGAGATTAAGATTACATGAATAGGATGTTTTTATTGGCAGATAGAGAGTAGCGTATACGTTATGACAGTAAGCATACGCCCAAGGCTACTTTAATATATCCTGAATATCTTATACATTCAATAGAAGACCTGGAGGTCTTCTATATTTACTAGAAGTCCCTGAAGTCTTCTATAATAAAAAGAAGACCCTGAAGTCCTCTATAACCAATAGGAGACCTGGAGGTCTTCTATAACCAGTAGAAGACCAGGAGGTCTTCTATGTTCCAAAGAAGACCTGAAGGAAGACCTGAAAGTCTTCCATACCCCATAGAAGACCTGGAGGTCTTCTATGGTCCATAGTAGAGCTGGAGGTCTTCTATGTTCCATAGAAGAGCTAGAGGTCTTCTATGTTCCATAGAAGAGCTAGAGGTCTTCTATGTTCCATAGAAGAGCTAGAGGTCTTCTATGTTCCATAGAAAGCTATAGGTCTTCTATGTTCCATAGAAGAGCTAGAGGTCTTCTTCCATAGAAGAGCTGGAGGTCTTCTATGTTCCATAGAAGAGCTGGAGGTCTTCTATGTTTCATAGAAGAGCTGGAGGTCTTCTATGTCCCATAGAAGAGCTTGAGGCTTGTCCCATAGAAGAACTGAAGGTCTTCTGTGTTCCATAGGAAGCTGGAAGTCTTCTGTGTTCCATAGAAGAGCTGGAGGTCTTCTATGTTCCATAGAAGAGCTGGAGGTCTTCTATTTCCCATAGAAGTGCTGGAGGTCTTCTATGTCCCATAGAAGTGCTGGAGGTCTTCTATGTCCCATAGAAGTGCTGGAGGTCTTCTATACTCCATAGAAGACCTGGAGGTCTTCTATACTCCGTAGAAGACCTGGAGGTCTTCTATACTCCATAGAAGTCTTGGAGGTCTTCTATACTCCATAGAAGACCTGGAGGTCTTCTATACTCCATAGAAGACCTGGAGGTCTTCTATACCCCATAGAAGAGCTGGAGGTCTTCTATAGTCCATAGAAGACCTGGAGGTCTTCTATAGTCCATAGAAGACCTGAAGGACTTCTATACGCCATAGAAGAGCTGGAGGTCTTCTATGTTCCATAGAATAGCTGGAGGTCTTCTATGCGCCATAGAAGAGCTGGAGGTCTTCTATGCGCCATAGAAGAGCTGGAGGTCTTCTATGCGCCATAGAAGAGCTGGAGGTCTTCTATGCGCCATAGAAGAGCTGGAGGTCTTCTATGCGCCATAGAAGAGCTGGAGGTCTTCTATGCGCCATAGAAGAGCTGGAGGTCAACAGGACTCAGCACCATCGCACTCTGCACGGGCCACCCAAGAATGGTTACAAAATGGCCATCAAAATCTCCGGATACCAATCCGTTGGACTATTGTGTCTGGAGTTTTTTTTGGAAAATAAGGTTGGCACTAAAAACTACAAAAGTGTCTATCACCTCAAGCAAGCGATTCACCGGGAATAGGTCAAAATACCGCAGAGTAACATTCGGGCAGCGCGTGACGATTTCATTGGCCGTTTGAAGGCCATAATTCGTGCCATAGCCGACCAATCCAAACAAATCTAAACTTATTCTAAAATTTGATGCTATTTCCGACAGTTTTTCTTTCATTCAAT